TCTTGAATTCCAGCTCTCAGTTATTACGTAAAAAATCCATGTGTCATTGTATTGCTATAAATCATTTTAGTCCAGCCATTGGAACTAGTTCTGCGCAAATTGTTTGTCTACTTAGTATGATAGATGCATTCTTGGGGGTATCTACTTAATAGTTCATACATTGTTTTGTTCTAGCTATTGCCCCACATCCTCCCGCATCCAAATGAATGTTTATTTACATTACCGCTTTCTTATAGTAACTGATTATGGTATTTCTTTCTCTATGCCTATTCAGAGAAATGTGAACCTACAAAAATCCCCCCCCCCACCCCCACACTAGTTATTAAAACGTTATTGAGCAAAAAAAAAGTTCCGTCTCATAGGAGAGAAGAGATAGCTGGCTTTTCACGTACTGGCAATAGTATTATGACCTTTTTCTTCTTCTTTTCTCCAGGATACTTGAAATAGTGAAGTTTCTGTTTTCTAGAGGAGCTGATGTCGATGCAATATCAGATCTTGGGACACCACTGACGATTGCTGCTCTTAGAGGATTTGCTAGCTTTGTCAAGATCCTTCTGGAGCACAATGCAGATGTACTATTCAAATTCTTTATTGATATGTTATCTTTTGACTCTAATTCTCCCTTTCTAATTTTTGCGCATTTGTTACCTTTTGAGGATTTTTTTTAGTTGGCGACTAAACGCAAAGTTCTCCGGTTGCTCGTTTTTATGTTGAAACTGTCATATTTTGGGACGAAAATGAAGTCCTTTATTTATTTTTCAGCCCAACAACAACAAGGCTATTTGTAAGTTTGTATCTTTAAGATGGCATTACAAGAATCTTGTGCATCCTATGTGAAGCTATTGATTCAGGTATAGTATCCTCTGCTTTTGCAGTAGAAATGCAGGATTCATTAGACGGATGTTTGATTTAGTTATCTTTGTATTATCTACTGGAAAACCGTATGATCGTCTATACATTTGCATCTGATAGGGTGGATCTAATGTCAGTGGTGATAGTACTCTTGATTATCTATTGTTAAAGACTGCAAAGAAGGGCTTAACTGAAACAATCAAGTGCTCTCCACGTGGCCGCTGCCTGGAGGTCCACCTTTAGTCCCGGATGGTAACACCAACCAGTACTAAAAGAAATTTTATGATTTTTTTTTTAAATTTGAAACTTTTTTTTGGAATATTTTTTTTATTTTCAAATTTCTGAATTATTTTAACCTCTATCTCTAATCACCCCTCATCACTGCTCAATTTAAACTCTAATCACCCCTCATCATCTAATTTTCCGGACGGTCACCCATCCTCTCACTACTCCAGCCTGAGCACCCTTAACTTCCAAGTTCTATTCTCCCTCGTTTCGAAGTCTGCACTTGTTGTTTTCCTGACAATAGTAAGATGTCAATCCTATTAACCTCAGGAATTTAGCTTGAGCATGAAGTCACACATTTCACTTTTTGAGTTTGAAACTATTGTTCTAAAAAATAACACTAATATTTAGTAACACTAATATTTCTTGAATAATTAGTTTGACCATTGTTTGACCATTGTTTGACCAGATTTGACCAAAATTCAAAAAAACTGAAATAATTATTTAGTAACACTAATATTCTTGAATAATTATTTAGTAACATTAATACTTCTTGAATAAGTAGTTTGACCATAGTTTGACCAGATTTAACAAAAATTCAAAAGAAACTGAAATTTGAGCATAACTTTTTTTCCTTTTTCATATTACGTATCATATTTTGAAAAACAATTCCCGAAAAAAAATTCGAAACTAAATTTTTTTGTCTGCTGTAGGCATTGAAGATGGATAACTTTGACGCTAAGTTGCTGTCTAACAGGAGTCTTTGCTGGCTTCGCATGGGTGATGGACAAAAGGCTTATGGTGATGCAGCTAAATGCAAGAGGCTTCGCCCAAAGTGGGCAATGGCGCACTATCGGCAAGGAGCAACTCATTAATTAGCGGAATTTGGTCGTGCTTTTAACAATGTGTGATTGATCAACTGATGCATGCAGGGGGGCGATGGAACTGAGGTGATCAAGCCCTGCACGCCGACTGCAGAGAGAAGCTCATGCAGAATTTGAGAATCTCTTTTTGTGTTCTCGGACAAAAACGCTGAACTCTGAATTATGACGCCTTCTCATTCATGGACCGTAGCAGCAGCAGCACCTTAGAGCAAAACATGTTACTGGCTACTTATTTATGAGATCTATGGAAGTGTGGTGGCAGTGGTTGGTGACTGAACTGGATATGCTAGACTGAAGTGTTTTGGCAGGATAATGTGATATTTTTGCACTGCCAATACTGATTTATATTTTTTTTGCGAAAGAGCGATTTTTTTTGGCGAAAGAGCAACCTGCGACCATGTATTTGCAAATCATTGGCACTGGTCATGTCCTTGTCGCTTCATTTTTTACTTCATTTTTAGTAACATTATTTCTCTCTTGAGGTTTTTTAATTAGGGGCTTCTTTGTTTCTGTACAAGTTTGATGTAGATTTTTATCCTTAGGTTCACCATGCTCCACTGTTACTTTCTAATGTTTGTGAAAATCATGCTTTTATGTTCCAAGGTACGTAGAAGATGGGAAAGTTAAATTTAAAATATACAATTATCTATTGCTCTTAGATGAAAATTCCAGTCGGAATAAATGTTTGAACCAGTCCATGGAAGGATTATTTTTTTCTGCGATGAGAGAAGTGAATATTTATTTCTGTTTGTATGTAGAAGCAAATGTATTTTTTTTCATAGAAAAATGGAACATTGCATTATAAGATGAACATTCAATCAACAGCACTAAGAAGACAACTTACGTACATTCCGATTCTGATCCGACGAACAGACAAAGAAAAATCACAATAACTGGAGCACGGCTCAGCTCCCCGATTTCGTCATGAATTCATCAAATGCAGTATTTAATTTACAGCAACAGAATTCCAGATTGGGTTTCCAGCAGCATAATGTGAAAAGTTGTAGCATATGCCAGCTGAATAATGAGAAACAGATACTTGTATATTGCTCAGCAATGATTAGAGCTTACGTAGATTACAAGTGCCAACGGCAGACGGCAGTACACAAACTGAAAGGCCAGACAGATGGATCAACAAAGACCGAAGAAGTACTCCTCCTGAAGAATCGGTCGCATCAGGTGTGCAGACGTGCTGAAGAAAGTAGCAACAGAAACCACCATTAACTGACGAGCAGAGCACTCATTTCACACAGCATATATGGAATAAGATTACAGTTTGCATTGTTGGAGAACCTCCCATGTTATCCCGTTGTTGCATACTTATATTTCTAGTATAGGTGAATAAGATAGACATGAACACGGAGAAATGGATAAATTCATGTAACAAATTAGCTTACTTGACAAACTCGTAACAAATTAAAGGAATCTGGCTTTGTTGTAAGCTCGAAAGTGCATCTCTTTGTAATGGACCATTTTTCTTCTTCCGACCTCAATGACACTTTCTACCCGGTGGCCTCCGGCATCGACCTTAATGTTATGAAGAACACCCAGTTCCAAGCTACATGCATAAACCAAATTCTGCTCGCTCTAGTAAATATCTATGCTACTATCAGACTGTTTGCAGGAGGAGAAGAATACTTGGTTTTTCTGTCTGGTGTTGATGTGCTATCTTGTTGTTTGATGATGTATGGCTCAGAGTATATATCCGAGAAGCTCGGCATCGACAAGAGTGGAGCTCTGCATCCTCCTCTTCAAGCAGTACAGAACCATCATGGCCGGGCTGCAGAGCAGGAAAATCACATTAGTAGTAGGATTACTAGGTCTAATACCTTAAAAGAAGTTTTATTTCGTTTTTTTACACGACGTCCAGAGAAGGTGAATAGTTTGTGCAAAGTAGAATATAGAGCGCTGTGTGCATCTGTGCCAAGTCAAAGAACATAGCGCCCATGTTCCCGTGATCACCCACATACGGCGTGTAGTGGTGCAGTTAGAAACAGTAGTGGTGCTCGGCACCTGAGGCTCTCTCCTGTATAAATAAGGACCAGCAAGATCAATGCAAATGTGTGTTGTGTCCCACTCTCCCTTCAGGAATGTTGATGTTAAAAATTCTCATCACGAAGACAAACACCTGCACCTTCATAATAGCAGCCCCCACCCAAATCAGGAATTCAAGAAGGAAGTGTACGTTCCACCAGCATCCATAGGAACAGCAACCATCCATGGGCGCCAAATGGCAAGTCGCTCATTAAATTACCTGGTATCTGATGCGCCTGCATTGCAGCTCCGAGGCGAGTCTCTGGAAAGTTCAGAAAAAATGGCACTTCCAGCAGCGCCATTTACCATTGGGCGTCAACTGACGAGGCGGCCAACAAGATCAGCAACAGGCACTAGGTCCAAATGGCAGCTCGTCCATCAAGTTAGTTGTGTGTACGTAACCTGAAGCTGTCAATGTTCTTTGTGCCAACAGCAAATATTATTACATGAAAAGACAATGCTGGATGACAACTATATATGACTTGATCTGAAGAACGTCATGCTTGCCATTTTTTTAGTGCAAGTCAAGGGACCTCTTAATTGGTACTCCCCCTGTTTTAGTGATCTAAACGCTCTTATATTTCTTTACGGAGGGAGTACTATGTCTCAGGCTTTTTATGTAAATATTTATGTTAACATCCACACCTAGTTTTGTTTTGAATAAGGAAGAGTAGTGCGCAGTAGGCGAGCAACTACCATGAAAATGACTTGTGCCAGCAGAGCTAGATAGTGACCTTTTTGGGACTAGTGACTAGTGAGACCTGGGATGTTATCATGATACTGTCTACTGTATGGTTAGATACTGTGAGAGGGAGACGATCTTTGATCGGTTGACCACTCGGGAGTCCAGGCACCACCGCGTCTCCGAGATAAATCTTTCCAGCGATCAAGCTCCATCGACTCGGTATCCTATCTCTCCCCTCTGCAAGCTCATCCCTGCATCTCTTCAGTTACTTACTGGCTTTCCATGTATGCAGTCTCCGTTACCATTCAACTTCAAGCACCATGGGTTCTGTCAGTCTCTTCTTCCTCGTACTTGCAACTGCAGCACCGTTGTTCTCCGCGGCACAAGGCTCTGGCTATCCGACAGCCAACCTCTCGACGATGTGGATCAACAACGACGCCTCCCTCCCGCACATCCACTATGAAGGAGGTTTAGCTGTGCGCCCCATCCTCCTCCGTTCACAAAGTAAATACTATAGCCAGTCCTTCGCCACAGGATTTTTCTGTGCCCCACCTTGTGACATGTTCTACTTTGGTGTGTTCATTGTCAAAACCGACCCCGACACCCGTATCATTGGTGGGAATCCGCCCGTGGTCTGGTCGGCCAACCGTGCTCGTCCTGTTAGGGAGAATGCCACCGTTGAGCTGACTTCAGATGGAGAATTGGTCCTTCGTGATGCTGATGGTAGCCTGGTCTGGTCGGCCGGTAGCTCGGGGCGGTCGGTAGCTGGCATGGTGATCACCAACATTGGCAATCTGGTGCTATTTGATTTGATGAATGCAACTATATGGCAGTCATTTGATCATCCTACCGACGTGTTGGTCCCAGGACAGTCACTTCGGGAGGGCATGAGGCTCACAGCAAGTACATCTGCAACAAATTTGACAGAGTCTCAGCTGCATGCCATTGTACGCTCGGATGGTTTGTATGCTTATGTTGCATCTGCACCACCACAATTCTACTATATGCTGACATCAAATGAAGATAAGACGGGAAATGAAACAACAAAAGTTACATTCATGAATAGCAGCCTCTGCATCTTTCTCAACTCAACATTTAAAGATCCGAATAGCAAATCATGGCCAACAACTAGGTCCACACAGTTCATAAGACTAGAATATGATGGTCACCTGAGGATGCATGAATGGGATATGGCAGAAGAAACTTGGCCTGTTGTGGAGGAGGTAATAAAGCCAGACAATGGTGATTGTGGTTTCCCAACTGTGTGCGGGGAGTACGGAATATGCGCAGGCAGGAAGTGCACCTGTCCCCTTCAGGATAATAATAGTTCAGGCTACTTCAAGCCGATTGGTGATCCCAAGGACAGTCTTGGTTGCACACCCTTGACCCCAATCTCTTGTCAAGAAATGCAACGCCATCAGCTCATAACCCTCGACGAAGTTTCTTACTTCGATGTAAACTACCCCGTTGAGAGTGCAACCACCCCAGATCATTGTAAACAAGCCTGCTTGAAAAACTGCTCCTGCAGGGCCGTCAACTTCAGACAATACTTTGAACAGACTGGAACCGACGGCCATTGCTTCTGGGTAACCAAGGTCTTCTCCTTGCAATCAATAAAACTTGAATCTGTTAATTACAAGAGCTCAGTTTTCATCAAGGTGCAGCTTGGCCCTTCCAAGTCAGCTGCTGCTTCTGCTCGTTCCGCAAACAACAGCAACCTCATTTTGGGCACTACAATTCCAGCTATTATTATTGTTGTATTACTTGCTATTGCTGTCACCCTTTATCTACAAAAGAAGGAGAGCATATTATGCCAAGAAAGATGAAGACATCAATTTTGATCAATTTGCTAGAATGCCGGCCAGGTTTTCTTTTCAGAAGCTGAGAGAATGCACTCAGGGGTTCGGTAAAAAACTTGGAGAAGGTGGATTTGGATCTGTTTATGAAGGGAAATTAGGTGAACTGAGAGTCGCAGTGAAACGTTTGGAAAGTGCTAGACAAGGAAAGAAAGAATTCTTGGCAGAGGTAGAGACAATTGGAAGCATCGAACACATCAATCTTGTCAGGCTGATTGGCTTTTGTGCAGAGAAATCTCAGAGGCTTCTAGTATATGAATACATGCCGAGAGGGTCACTTGATAGGTGGATCCATTACCGCCACAACAATGCTCCACTCAATTGGGGCACGCGATCTAGAATCATTCTGGATATTGCCAAAGGCCTATGCTATCTTCACGAGGAGTGTAGGAGAAAGATAGCTCATTTAGATATCAAACCGCAAAATATTCTACTAGATGAGAACTTCACTGCCAAAGTGGCTGATTTTGGACTATCTAAGCTAATAGATAGGGATCAAAGCAAGGTAATGACGGTTATGAGAGGCACGCCTGGGTATCTGGCACCTGAATGGTTAACCTCGCAAATCACTGAGAAAGTGGATGTCTACAGCTTTGGAGTAGTTGTCATGGAGCTAATAAGTGGGAGAAAAAATATTGATAATTCTCTGCCTGAGGCGAGTTCCAACCTCATCAATTTGTTACGAGGAAAGGCTCGAGATAATCAATTGAGTGATCTGATTGACAAGCATAGTGAAGACATGCTCTCACACCAGGAGCAAGTGATCCAAATGATGAAGCTTGCAATGTGGTGCTTGCTAAATGATGGCTGTCAAAGACCTTCAATGTCAACGGTGATCAAGGTACTGGAGGGTGTGACAAGCATAGAAACTGCAATTCTTCACAGATTTATCGATGCAAATTCAATCATGCCTGTTCAAGATAATATATCTGCATATTCAGTTCAACCTCAAGCATCAACCTTGTCGGGACCAAGGTGAAATGGGCGCCTAATGAGAAGAAGACGTCCAACTTCATTATTCACTTGGTTTGTAATTGTTTTTAAATCTTATCCATTTTGTAGTTTGGAACTGTGTTTTAAACAGTGTGAAAAGAATAATTCCCAGCAAATATATATGTTTGATTGTTTGGTGAAGTTGTACCTCATAAATTTTCATCTGCAGAGTACCAGTCACCTCATCTGGTAGCCAAAAATATATTTGTCGACTATGTGGTAAACAAGGAAATTACCTGTGATGTAACTAACACTATATAAGTATATGGAACATTGAATTCCAGAATTTTGCAAATAACTTTAGGAACCTGATGGGGATGAGCACCGTAGGGATCTAAGGACAAAGATGGGACTATAGACCAGGATGACAAACCTTAGAAGAAAGAAAAATTATGCGATTTTTCTAAAGTTTTCCATAGTCAATACTAAAGGATTAATTATGCTAACAGAGATGGTACATTAAATTGTAAATTTCTAGGTCAGGCCAGTAAAATGAACAGGTCACTATGTCAGTCTCTATGTCAAAATAATAATACGAATCTTTTTTAAAAATTCAGCAGCAACACTACATATATTCTTGCAAAAAAAAAAAGTTGACTATCCTTTTTCATATGTGGGGGTGGGGCCATTACTATATGAGCCGCCACAGGGAGGGGGGAGGGGGAGCTGGAGAGGCTTAAAAGAAGAAAAAAAAAGGACAAATCCATTAGAGACGATTAAAAACTGACAGCAGCAATTCAGCACATACTTCACTACACTGATCCTTCTGATGTTAATATGTAGGAGTCCAGCAGTGAAGTAACTAAACTTTATAGACCAGCGAACTTCAATCAGAGAGAGAAGAAAGTAACTAAACTAATTTATTTTCTAATAAAACTGGTTAGTAGGTAATGGTGCCGACTACAGAGTTGGTACTTCGATGAAAATTTCTTTTCTAAATAAACTGAAACAATGTCAAGATGTGCACCTTCGGTTCGAGCGCAATGTTGGTTGACTAGGACTGAACCTTTTTCTCCACAAATGCATTCGAGAAACCGGGCAGGGCAGGTGGCCTCACCGTGGGAGCTGGTAGAGTTGAATATGTTTAAGTGGTACTCATGTCACTGCATATCTTCTTGATAAATCGATGTCACTGTATATCAATATCAAGGCCAAGGCTTCAATGACACTGTATTTTGCTTCAGGATGACACTGCACTCATGTCAGTAATAAGAGATTAAAATGCAGTGCCTCATCAACTGATTGACAGCCCCAACCCAATCAACAGTTCTAAACTACTGTAATGCATCACTCGATCGGTCTTCAATCAATCGATCGTGATGACGGAAGTCGGAAAGCAGCACAGGTTATTGCTTCTTCATCAAGAGGCAGAAACTGAAAATGCAACGCCTCAACTGAACTTCATTCAGTAACACATGATGGTGAATGAAGGTAATGAGCCACCTGGTCTATCTTCAGGTTTAACTGTCAAGGGGTGGCCCACACTGCACTCTGAAAACATACTGAATTCAGTTACAACACTCAGAGAGCAACAACACTAATTGCTTACCATTAACTCAATTCAGTTACAACCTCAGAAGCCCCAAGAATACTCAAATATTCAGATTCCTGAGCAAGTATATAAAACTGAATCCACAAATTCAACTCACTCACAAATTGCTCTGGGGATGTGATCCACCACAACACTGAAAAAGTTGAATATGGTCTTTATAATTTACAGCAACATTGTTTCCAGATTGAGTTGCATGCAGCACAAAGTTCACCATGCTAAAGGAAGCAGACATAGGTAGGCAACAGAAACCACCCAGTGACTGATGAGCAGAATACTAATGTGGAAGAACATCTCACCGGCATCGTTATTGTTCTTCCTTGCAGCTATAAGAAACCTGTCACGCCGTTTATCGTATTGTAAGGAGGTGGTGTCACCATCTCTGCCTATGAGGTAATTATCCAGTACCTCACTTAGTTTAGTTTTTAGTAATTTCCTTCCGTTTGGTTGAACTTTGTTAAATTTCATCATTTTGGTTATGAATATATTGAAATTTAACAAATGTCATGCGGTTTCGCTAGAGTTGTATCGACCCATGCATGCTTGCAGACGGTGCAACATCGGATACTAACCAATTCGCAACTTTCCAAAAGCACCTACCTCCTCTTCAACCTCCTCTTCAGGAGCTATTATCCATCGCACTAAGACATCGGAACATGGGACAAACGGGGGCTCATGCGCAGACTAACCTGATCCATTGATGATGTCCACTTGCGAGAACAAGCAGGAGTACTCATGGATCGACGAGATGATCTCAAGCGCGGTGTGAGGTGTGAGGACAAATATTTCTTGAACATAATGTATATGATGGGACTGAGGAGGGATGGGCACCCGTCGCGACACCGGGAGCCTGAGACGCCATCAGTCATGTCAGAGGATGGTAGCCATTCATGCCTGAGTGTGTCACACACGTAGAACCAGGTGATGTATGGGCACCTCATGTCCATGGGATATTACATGAAATTGATCAAAAGAGATGGTTGTGTGTGCATGTATGATGTTTAGAGGACAGAATTACCTCAGTCCTAGTCGTCTTTTCTTATCGGTCATATGTTATTAAAGTTTATTGTCTCTTTTGAATACTTAGATTGTAGTATTCTATATCCTATTTATTTAAAAAGTTGATCCCAATTCTGTTAACATGCAAAGTGTCCATCTCAACGTCCTCGCTAAGCCATGCCTTTAAGTCTTCTCTCCCACTAAGCTATGCATATATGTCTGTCACATAAGCAAGCCATGCATTTAACTTATAAATTATAATTATGTTTGCATTAGTCTATGCATGTAACGCTGTCACATCATACATGCATGTTAGTCATACTTCACATTACTTGTAATTCATAAGTTTTTTTTGTACACTTTTTTGTTGAATTTCAAGCATATATTTTCTTTTCATTAGATTTAGTTATTTTGGAGCAACCATTTATGCATTTTTAACAAAATTACCACAACAACGCGCGGGGCACCATCTAGTTTTTATGGTCATATATAGACTTTCTTTCTTTCGGTTCCATTTTCTCTTCTTATATATTTTTTTGTTTAAAGAAATAAAAAAATTTATTGACAAATAAACGAACCTTTTTTCTAAATACATAAGCAGGTTTTGAAAGACTTGAATAGTTCTTAAACTTTATTGTGTCATCTATACACTGAGGTTGTAGTATTTTATAGTTATATCTAGACTTTCATTTCTTTCTGTTCCATTTTATTATCTTATGTATATACGTTTTTAAAAGAAGTTTGTAGATACATGAATACGTTTTTTGAAAGACATGAACACTTCTTAAAATTACAAGAACATCCATCCTTTCTAAATAGGTCAACATTTTTTAATCTATGAACACCTTTTGAAAAATAGTTAACTTTTTAAAAGGTGTGAGCATTTTTTAAATTGGACATTTAATACACATGAACATTTTTAATGCATTATTTAAAAGTAAACATTTTTCTATGTCTGTAAATATTTTATTTAATACATGAATATTTTAACTACTTTTTGTTGTAGGTTTGATTACAAAATATATTTTTAAAAAAATCTCTAAAAAAGGGGAGAAAAAGACGTACCTATGTGAATGAGTGGTGGCGTATGAGCGGAGGCGATTACAAGGGCAGTGGGTGGCGAGGACATGGCGGCAAACGTTGACCGCGGATGGAGGGAGATGGCGGTTTGACCGGTGTTTGCCGTCAGGTCGTTGAGGTGGACGTCGGCTGTGGCGAGGAGGGCAGACGGAGGTGACGGGGCGGGACGAGGTGTTTGTTTCCTCGACTATTTGACACCATGAGCGTAAGAAAAAACTCTGTAAGGAGAACTGAGTAAAGTTGGAGCTCATCCGGGAAAGCTTTGGTCGTTGGCTGGGCAGCGTGATGGCTCTGGCTAGTGGGCCTCATTTCCTTAAGTGAGCTAGGAGGCCCCCCTAAAAGAAAGTGAGCTAGCAGACCATGTTAGAACTTAGAAGTAGAGACCCGTCGCAGCCGTCTCCACAGCCCGCTAGCGTTGACGCCGGTTCTCCGCCCACCGGCCCCGACGAGCTCCCGACGGCGGCAAGCATGTGCAGGTCGCCCCAAACCACCACCAGCAGCAACCGCAAACGCAGCAGGCCGGGAGCTGATCCCCAACGGCAGCAAGCAGCAGCGGTTCCTCTCACAATTAATTAATGGGCCCAAGTCCAAGATTATATTAGGAGGTACTGCTTACTTACTGCACCACACCACTGCTTGCTATGTCAGTAAGGAGGTTTTCGGATCCGCTCATGTCTGTTTCTTTTTTGCCTATGTCACTAAGGATGTTGATTTTATAAGCTACTCCATCCGTCCGGAAGTATTTGTCATCAAAATAAATAAAAGTGGATGTATCTAGATGTATTTTAGTTCAGATACACCTCTTTTTGTCCATTTTGATGACAAGTCTTTTCGGACGGAGGGAGTATATATATACAGAAGAAAAGTTTTCAGTAAATTAAAACTAACTTGGAACTCAACCCCAATGTTTGAATCTGTAGTGGTGAACTAGCATCTCACAAAGTTGCTACCTGTCTTCGGACTCCGATTTTTAAACTGGCATCTGCTGACATAACAAACACACACATCACGTAATCTTCCATCTTGACAGTACGAATGGGTGGCCACGGTTAATTAGTTCCATCTTGGATCCTAACAAACAAAAAGAAGAGTATGTGAAGTGATTAAAAGGCTGTAAAAACCATGCCGCTTAACAAAGAACAAAGAAGTAATGAGACTCCACACCTTAGCTAGAGTTAGAGTCGGCACAGGAAGGCAGGAGCTTCCATACACGCTTCTTCATGCCGGATTCTGGTCCTCTTACTATTTCCATTGTTCTAAATCTTTGAAGTACTATCTCCGGAATAGAGGAGAGCACGTGGAAATACTCCCTGTTCAAGCTTGAACTCGGACAGCTTCATTAATTAGATGTGCGAATGAACTGATTGGAAGACTCTGACATCCCATTATGGTCAGCTTTTGGACAACCGGACTACCAGGAAAACTCGCAAGTGTTGGGCACTTGTATAATTGTAAATTTTCGAGCACTGGGAACACCACCAAGTTACTAGGCTCTCCTGCACTCCTCTCGATGCATCTTTGCAAGCTTGGTAACTCACGTAAGATAATCTTCTTCATCTTTGGAAAATTTTGATACCCTTCTGCTTCCACATCAGTGCTGCTTTCACATATTGTGGTTAGACTAACCATATTTTCTGCACACAAATACTCAAGAGAACGTGACAACCGTACCATAGGTAGATAATTACACCGTCGGCAGTTTGAAATTTTGAGCTCTCTTAAGCACCGAAACATCTCAGGGTCTTTCATCCATTGTGGTATTTTTAGGCCAGCATATCCATGTACCTCCAAAATTTGCAGGTTACCATGAGGTGCAAGAGACTCCAACACTTGTTCCGCGTTGCATGCCTCATATTCAGGCATGTCATCCTTTAGATTGCCCCAACACATTAATAGTTCGCCTACATATTTTTGCTGGTTATTTTCCGAGCTACGGCAGTGATACGTTCGTGGTCGCTACTCACTCCGATGGAGGCCAGGGAGCATTTGGTTACTGGGTCTATCCGTTGGGAGATGGTAGCTCGGGATATCTTCAACCGGTTTGGATGGCGGTCATGTAATAGGATAGGCAATTAGTTTACGTACCTTTTTTAGCCAGCCGGTTGTGGCATCTTTTCCTGGCTAGTTTGTGTATCTAGCCTTTTGCGCTCTGTGTGAGCTGCTTTTTCTTTCTTTAAGTTTGAGTCTTTGGAACTTTGTTGGCACATTTTGTTTCTTGCTTAATAAGATGGCCGTATGCATCACTCTTGATGCAGAGGCCGGGGAACCCCCCCTTTTCGAAAAGAAAACATTTTCCTTCTGGTGGAGATTGGCTTCTTTTGCATTTGACCCACTCCTTATTCTTCTCAAATTGTACAGTTCCAACCTGATACCAAGGTACTGCAGGTGTTTGAGCTCCTCAATTCCACGACCAGCTTCACTGTCCACAATAAATGTTGTCAGTGTGCGTAGGTTGTTCAGCAGACTAATGTTTGGGGGCATCTGTTCCAAACTAGGACATTGAAGAAGATACAGATGAATGAGCTACCTCATTGCACATATACCATCAGGTAACAGCTTCAGATTCTGGCAATTATTGAGCCTCAATGTTTGCAAGTTATATAGCATAGATACTGCATCTGGCAATCTAACCATATCAGACCAAGAAAGGTCAAGATACCATAAATGTTTTGCATGCATGATCTGGCTATTTGTAACAGCACAACTCTTACAACACAATGATTTTAATGACATCGTATTTAACTCCTTAAGATCCTTGTATCCTGCTGATGTCATTAACAAAGTGCAGATAGATGTAGTGGTTCTGAACAATACACTCAGTTGTTCCAATTTAGGCTTTGACATGCCGCATTCATGCTCTGCAATCTGTATATGACGGACATCTTCTAATGATACTTTCTGTTGAACTAACTCTTGTACAGTTGCACATTCATCTGCGACATGGTTCGCTAGGTCATGCATTAAATCGTGCATTTTACAAATAGTTGGGTCATACTCATATGGAGTGACTAGAGAGTCACGTCTAACTTTCTTCACCATCACATCTTGGAGAAAGGATCTCCAAACCAAATAATTGAAAATCAATTCTCCTTTCTGTGTCAAATCCATTGTAACATCTTCTTGAAGAAAACCATTTGCCATCCATAGTTGGATCAGTATGTCCTTTTCCATCTCATAGTCCTTTGGAAAGACCGCACAAAAGGCAAAGCATTGCTTCATTTCAGATGTCAAGTGTCTGTAGCTCAACTTCAGTATGCTTAGGACCTCATCTTTACCTCTGTCATTATCCCCAATGTTGCTATTTGCTATGTCCTGCCATTCCCGCACTTGTTTTTTAGAGCTCATCAAGCCACCCATTGACTTGAGAGCAAGAGGCAGCCCCCTGCATTTCTCGACAATACGTCAGCCAATGGTGACCAACTCTGCTTGCTCCTCTACACCATTACCAAATGCTTTCTTTGAGAAAAGCTTCCACGAATCATCTTCACTCAGACATGCTAGCTCATGGGGTCCTAGCGTGCCCATTAAAGAGGCCACTTGCTTGCTTCGACACGTGACAAGTATAACACTTCCCGGTCCACCAACTGAACACAAGAGTGGCTTCAGCAAATCCTCCCACTTGCTCTCATCTTCATTCCACAAATCATCAAGAACAAGCAGATATCTTTTCTGCCCAATGACTTTTTGAAGTTCCAATCGCAGCAGCTCGATGGTGTCGGGCAGGTTGCATCTTGTTTCAGTAGCCAATTCAATGACAAACTTAACAGCAGCAGCGGCTTCAAAGTTTTCTGACACACAGTGCCACATGTTCAACTGGAAATGTTGCTGGACTCTAGGGTCGTTGTACACCATCTTGGCAAGAGTTGTCTTGCCCAGGCCTCCCATCCCAAAGATAGGCAGCACCTGCACATTCTCCTGATCTTGCTGGGCGAGCAACAGATCCACCACCACTTGCTTGTCTTCATCCCTGCCGAAGATCTCAGCAGATCTATCGAGTGCAGCGTGTGTATCCTGATAAGAAACCCGCGGCGCCTCCGCAGGGTTTTCCACCAGGCCAAACTTGTTGGCCTCTTCAACAAGGTTGTTGATCTTTTCGAGGACGTTGCTCAGCTTCCTGCTCATGGTGAGGCGGAAGAGTAGCGGGCTGTGGCTGGTGAAATGGCTGAGTACCTTGCGAGTCTTGGAGCTGCCGATTTGGAGATCGCGACGCAGCGCCTTGTAACGAAAGTCATCGAGGACGCCGTCGGCTTCGTAGGCGACGCTCCTGAGGGCCTTCATCGACAGCTTGACGTACCCATCGGTCTCGCTCTTTGCCTCGGCGTCGACAAGCTTGCACTGGATGGACACCAGCTGGCGCTCCAGCTTGCGGCGGTTGCCGTCGATGCCGTACATGCGGGTCATGGTTGTGACGAGCACGTCGCCGGCCTTGCCGGCGGCGACACGCACCACCGGGAGAAGCAGCGACTCAGCCATGGCCTTCTTCTCTACCGGCAGTACGTGAGAGGGGATCTGGAGAGAAGTGTAAACTCAGAGTCTCAGATGGAGTGGAGTTGAGATCCAGAAGGGAGGGACTAGCTAGTACTCCCTCCGTTCAGAATTACTTGTCGCAGAAATGGATGTATCTAGACGTATTTTAATTCTAGATACATTCATTTTCGAGACAAGTAATTCCGAACGGAGAGAGTATTATGAAGTGGAATTTGAGATGGAGAAGAATTATTGGAGACAAAACCGCGTGGTGCTGCCCTGCGCTACCGTCGAGTACAATTATTGAGACAGAAACCGCGTGCGTGCATGATAGATGCTCTGACCTTGGGCCAGCAATCCAGCATGCATGTACGTGGTTTCACTTTCAACAAAGCTCTAAGAATAAGTGTGAATAAAGGAGGCCCTCTGAACCAATAATGATGCGTTGGCGGCGATGAATCATGAATGCGTTGGTGCAAGATGTGAATCATGGTAAAGTGGACTCTTGACGTACTGGTTGTTGGTCTCTCTTTTCACTCTGCGGTCGGCCATCAGCAGTCGTCGAAGACGCCACATGCCACGGTCTGCTCGAGCGTGTGTCGGTGGGGAAAGCAGCGATTCCGACATCGATCTTGTTGTTAATCGGTCTCTGCTGTGAGCAAAGCTGTTAAGCAACCAGAGACGTGCTCCAATGCTAGTATGAATAGTTGAATAACCAGATCCAGAATGCAAGGCTGCCTGGAACAAATATTGGGTGCAGTCCATTCCTCTTCCCTAACCTTATACCGGCGACCCCGCGGCCATCGTCTCTTCTCGTGTTGCCCATGTCTACGTGGTAGAAACAGCTCGGAAGCAGGCGCACGTCCCCCTCTAGGTACATGACATGTTTGAAAGCATCAGGAAACTAAGCAATCGTGGAACTTTTGAACCACCGTGTAACTGAACTAATCAACATATTTATCACAAAAAGCAGTGACTCGCTAGAAATAGACCAACCGTAATACATTAGAAACTTCCCCTGATCCCTCAAACTAGTTCTATGCTTGTAAATTCAATTGCTACGTGCATAAACTGTTTCTTATTTTTGAGGTTTCTATTTTCTACAATGCCACAACTTTTTGCTTGCGTATTTACAAGTGTCTGGTTAGGTTCTGCTTTCTCATTGTTGGATGCTTTCACTATGTGGTACATTTTTACATGTTCTAACAAACAAATTCTCTGAATTTCAGGCCTTCTAATCGGATTTTAGCTTGCGTGTGCACCTCAAAACACATGCATCTAAGAATATGTTGTGAGAGGGACTACATCTTCAGACGAGGGAGCTAACTTGGCATACAAACTAGCCGAGATCCAACTCTCGTTGATCTATGACTACCTGTATACCATTAAGTTTGGAGGCCTAAAGCGTATATTCCACCATCTTGCCATCCTTACCCTAAGCTCTAGAAGTTTGAAGTTTTGGGCGGGTCGATCATCGGCTAGCACAGATATGGGGATGTGCGTCTGTGCCAGCTATTCTGCCATGACCACCAGTTGCTGCTTGCTTCTACTGACACCTTACTTTCAGAGGAATAAACTGATTATGGGGAAACTTTGTTTGGCGCCCGATCACCCCACTCAAATGCCGTGTCTTCCTGTGGCTACCACTCAGACGAAAGCTTATTACAAGTGATAATATGGTTCACAAGCAATGGATATCTACTGCTCCTCATGTTGGGTGTGACACTGACCGGTGCCGCACTTGAATCAATTGATCATATCAAAGCTGCTCAGTCCGTTTCATGAGCTCGCAGCATCCTCGGCCTCATTAACATCTTTCGCCTTGTCTCCTTTGGCTGCTGAACGAACCAGTCATTTTGGCATGAGATATGGTACTCTCTGCCTGTGCGGTGCAGCTTTGGGCGGCACACTCGTGATGCTGTGTCTTCAATAATAAGCTTTGGTCTCGGGCTTTTTAATTCGGGCAGGAATGGCTGATATGCTTAAGTTCTGGTCAAACCCAGCCTGACATCAGACCACAAGAATTCTCTAATGGAGCATTGTTTTCAAATGTTCTCATGTTTCTTTTTATTGATTTATTTGGTTTTCCTAATTGCCTAGCTTGTTGCTGTTTTGCACACTGGTGCCATCTGTGATTCAAACTGCCTTCATGTATATTTTATTTTGAGGAAGTCCTTTGTGTAATTGGCTCTACCATCTAGGCTTTGGCTTATTTCAGAAAACAAAAATCTCAAGGGAGATGAGTTGCTGTATCTTACATATTGCTTGTCGATGCCGTGGATATTTTCAATACATAGGATGCACACGAGAAGGAGGCCGCCGCAATAGAATTCTGCTTGGCATCCTCAAGTGCTTTGGCCCAGCACCGGAAAGCATAGTGGAGTAGTCAGGGAAGCTGCAACAGTATAACTTGATCGATGAAACCATCTAGGAGGACAAGGTATTACGACAAGCCAGCATGATGACATGACAACCACACATGTTGTGATCTCTCCGGAGGTAAAGAATTAAGATGTTGTTTGATAAACTGCTTGAAATAGCAACTGGTTTACTTATCCATAAAACCATCAGTTTAGTTATTCATAACACCATTTCATTGAAATACAGTTTCAATTTACAGCAACATCATTCCACGTTGAGTTTCCAGCTCTCAGAAACAAAATTTCTTTTTCCTCTTTCATGCTAGGAAATCACCGTGGTCATAGAACTACTTAATGGCCTTCAAGAACCAGGGCCACAGCTGTTCTTCTTGCATGTCGATTTGCTTTTCTATTACTTGCTAGCAATATATGGACTGTAATTTAATGGAACCCCATGCCATGTTGTCGTGGCTGCATATATAGACTTGCTTTTCTATTACTTGCCAGCAATATGAACAAAGGAACTTGCCAGCACTGAATCAACCTGATCCATGCGATAATGCCAGCTTGTCAATGATAGGGACGCATATACACAGACTAAAACAGTGGGAAGGCAACAACGATATAAAATCACATTTTTTTAGAACCATATTACAACATCAATTATTCGCCTCAGTGTACTTAATTTCACAGAAAGCATCATTATACGGATCCTAGCTAGAACGATCATGCCTTCTAGGAATGCAAACAAAGAAGTTAACAAGAGTTTCTTCACATGTACCAGGAATCAAATATAACATGCATATACATCATATTGCAGCTCACCCTAGGTGTCCACACACCTTTTGGCTAGCTTCCAGTACACATCTGGTCCTTATTACTCATTTGGCAATATCTTAATTCAAATTATATATGAATTGCCAATGCAGGGCGGTCGGTGTTTGTTTGGATGTGCTATTTTTTTTTTGCTTGGGCCTCGTCCATGCTCTTAAAAGTACGCTCCACAACCTTCACAAACGCAACCTTAACCGCAATACAAGATATATAGAAAGGGATGGTAGCGAGGCTGGCGAGGTGTTGGATGCCAAAATCAAAACTACTACTGGAAGATTTTTAACTTATGTAGGATAAAAAACAGTTCAATTCCTTAAGATTCTAGTTGACAATAAATCTAGTGTTCCAATGAGATTAGGTAGCATAGTAGTCATATGATGCCCACTTATTAATGAACCTAACTTACCTCACATTTGCAAATGGGTCAATTTATACTCTAGGAGGTTCTATAAATATGATTATCTAATAATACACTAGAAAGCATTATTAAGATATTAGTTAGACAATACACTCTAAAGATCTCTATGATGGTACTAAAATATACATCAACCTATACAAATGCACACAAATATATACATATGCAATATATAATTTATGCGATTTTCAAATTTTCATTTAAAGACATGCTTTTTAAAATCACATAAATTAAAATTTAGCGAAGATGTTTTTTTGAGTGACAAACACTAATGTCGATAACAAAGAACAATATGCTTAATTTCACACAACATTGTTATGTGGTTACGTATGCCAACTAAATAATACCAATTATACACGTAACAACTCCATCCGTCCGACAATGTAGGTAGCTTGCAAAAATGTCTGATATTATGGGATGGAGGGAGTACGTTATTATGGGAAATTATTTTGTAAAATAAATAGTATAAAATACTTATTTTAATTCGCGACCAAGAAGTAGCTCAGCCTGCAATTTACAAGCAGTTTTTTTTAAGAAACATCGGCTTTATTGATTACATAACAAAGTTACAAAGAGTCTCCCAGATACAATCCAGAGTAGAATAAAAAACCACAAAGCTAGACAAATTCTTATAAGATTTAGCTAACAAATGAGCCACTACATTAGCTTGCCAATGAACATGCTTGAACACCACAGAAAAAAGCTTTGAGAAGCAAACTTATGTCTTCAACAACAGTACCAATGCTGGAGCGATCGCAAGATCTCGAATTCATCCTTTGCCCCAGCGAAAGGCAATCCGAAGCAAATATAACATCGGGATAGCCTTCATCACTAGCTAATTGCACAACTCTACGTAAGCTCAAACCTCTGCTAGTTCAGGCGCAAGTGCAACATGAAGGGGTTCAGAAACAAACAGCAGTACAACACCCATCATGGTTCAACAGTACCACACCAGCTCCAGACTTGTTCATGTCAGAGAAAACAGCAACATCCAAATGAATCAAGACCTTACCTGTCGGCGGCGGAGTCCAAGGAGGATTGGGTGAAGTCGACTAACGCCCCTTGACAGGTTCAGAGCTGAAAAGGTGCTTTAAGATTAAGTTTGAATATGCTCGGTTCTTCTCCACTGTAGTGCGAATCGGTGGTTCTTCAGGAGAGTGTCGAGCATCATTTCGAGCTTCCCACAAATGTCACATAGTAACAACCGGAACCATAGCATCGCGACCTGAAGACCTTGATAGAAAATCAAAGAGCCACATCTTAGTGTCTCTAAATTCAGAACGCCGTGACACAATTCCAATCCAGTTTTTTATTGCATCCCACACCGCTCTTGTACGCATGCAGAAAAGCATGGCCTACTCACTGTTTCGAACCGACCACAGAAGGAGCAAGACTCA